GAAGACAACGAGACTGAGGCAATGAATTATCAAGTGGACAACGCAAAACCTCATGACCTTTAAATCACACTAATCTAACCAAATATCAATCATTATTAATTAGTGACGGTATAACTATGCGGAATCTTTTGTTGCATAATATCATGTTTTTCTGTGATATTCACATCATACTTAAGAATTTTTTCCCTCTCCGGAGTAAAAGATGAGTTGTTCTCAAAGAGAAAAAAAAAATAACAAGAAGCAAAAACTTTAAAAATCTAAGTCCCAAGTGCACACGTTATCAATTAATTAGGAACTACTAAAGCAGGGAATATAAATTAAATATTTAAAATTGAAACTCTCATTTCTTGTAAGACAGTGTCACTCTGCAACATCACCTGTTACATTTAAGAAAAATGTGGACAGTGTAGTTTCGTTGAATTTGACGAAAGTAATAGTAATTTACACTAACGTCCATGAAAATACTCTCACTAGATAATTGGACCGCGGTGCGGTACCCACGTCGTCCAATTTCCTGCGAAAGCTAAAGCAGTCAGTTCATTCACGCCATCAACCAATAAACGAATAATGAAGAGGGGTATAGTGTGACGAGGGCGAGTGGGCAACATTGTGTTTGGATCGTTGCCACAGGCAGGTCAGGAAATGGTAAGGAAAAAAATGCCTCAAGATGTGGGAAAAGTTAGGGAATTTCACTTCGAGTCAGGGAAAATTTAAGTGTTTGAAGGAGTCAGGGAGAAGGGAAATTTTAAGAGTACACATTTATTCTTTTTTTCTCTACTTTTATTGTGTGCAAACATTTAAAATTCTTTTGTAAATTTTACGGACATGAACTATGTTGTGTTCGTAGAATATTGTTCATGAAATTGACTGACAAGCTGATGTTCGGTTTTCAAGAAAATCAATACCTTTTGCATGTTATATGTTAGAGATCTATCAATTCATGTACACTGCAAGTGCCTTGCTAAAAGCATAAATAAATGGGTGCCGAGGATGACTATTAGTGAAATTGTTATAAATTCAGTTTGTCAGGGAAACTTGATATTTGTCAGGGAAAAATGGAATTTTAAAAACCTCTGGCGGTGGCAACCATGAGTTAGATAACCAGTTTTGATGGATTACGTCTAGAACTAATTATCCTGGCTAGTATAGGTAATAGCATGATTTGTAGTGCATGATATTTGGCATAATACCACGAGTGATATTTCGAAATTGTTATACGTAATTTCACTCGCCTAACGGCTCGTGAAATTTGAGACAATTTTGAAAAATCACAAGTGGTATTTATGCCAAATATCGCGTACAAATCATGCTATTATTTGTTTATACTGCCACCCACAAAAGGTTTGTAAAAGGTTTGTCGCATGTAGGTATTTCAAATTAAGCTGAAATACCACGGTACGACTGCTCTAAGCCCATCAAATTGCAGAAACTTCTAATGTAGTAGTATAAACGCAATAAACAAGAAAATTTCATTATCGTACACTCATAATTCAATACAATACATCATGTTATTAACTATACGTTGTGAAAACAGTTTTCGACAAAAGATCTATATTTTGTGAGCCGTAATTCTAAGCTTTGTTTTAAGCACGTTTGGTCGTCCTTGTCCTCATATTGAGGCTTGGACTACAGTTGAAAACAAATAACTGTTAGACTCTTTCCTCCTTCATGGTTGGAAAAAAAAAATATATAAGATAAGGGATCTATTTTTTTTAAAATATTTTTTCAATAAATAAATTTGCGATATTTGCCGAAGTTCTGGTTTTCGCTCCAATTCACAATAAAAACGAAAAACAAAAATCAATAGTCAGCTAAAGTACCAGGAGTCTTGTTTTACATCTTTATTTTTGCTTCTTTATAAAGAGAAGTGTGACGTCACGTTACCATATGTGACCCTCCACAGGAATTTAATGCTAAAGGTGAAAGCACGCGCACGACACGCTTTCACTTTAAAACAAAAGAATTTATTTTAACACGCTTTAGCACGCTTGCAATCTTGCCTCATTAGCAATTTCTTTTGTTTCACAGGACACGCTTGAGACAATTAACCGTGAGCAAGTCGAACAAAAGAGCGTGTTAAAGTTTTCAAACAAAAGCTCCGTGCGAAAAAGCACAACACGCTTTCAGTGTGCGCAAAAGCACGCAAGGCGTGTTATCTATAAGCTAAATAAATTTCCTCTACAAAAAGGAACCGCAAATGATTATGAACGGCACCCTCTTTTGGTAACTATCGAGAAAGAAAAAGTTTTACCTCAGCGATCGAAGCGATAGTATCTGATTGAAAAAACGTTGTCGCTTGAAAAGTATAAACAGTGAACGGTAGGACCTGCTGTGCATTTATGGGTAGAACTTTATTAGCATTACAAAATCAAAGTTATTTCCAGAAATGTTTACTGACGAAGCTGTGCAAAGATTATCTTAACTTTCCTTAATTTAAAACACATTTGCAATTTTCTCAGAAACAGTGATCTGAATTTAGTCACTTTCTCGCCGATCGCAGCAATCGCAGCGATCAAACAGAAATCATCAAGTACCAGGATCGCTAAATTGTATTTATTTTTTAGCGATTGCAAGGATCGTAGTGATCAAATGAAAACCAGCCTGCTTTTCTAGACGTACCAAAATTCCAATACGGTTGCAATGTTGCTTAATTGATCCAGCCGGCAATAACACAAAAAGCGAAACCGGCATTTAAACAATGTATGCAAATCTGTTCTTCTTGAAATATTACATCGCGTATGCTTCAGTCTTATTGTCCAAATTCCGTAATCATCCTGTTGTCTTTCTTGTGATTGCCGTTTCTTTTACAACCATCATTATCTTCATCAGAAGTATTACAGCCTACAATTATTTAAGTGTCTTAAGTAGTCTGCTACACGGCCGTTTTAGTGTCGTCACGCAACGCTCCTTCCACTGAAAACGGCTTTGTAGCAGACTATAAGTGGCGCGAAAATAATTTTTAGTATGTCGCACAAGTTTACTGCGTCTTTTAAATGCCTATTTTACGTTGATGTACGAGTGGATTTGTCACCCTCCTGAAGCTTGGTAGTGCCTTGAGGACTAAATTAAAACAAAGCGGAATTTAAGATAAGACATAAAAAAAACAGTCGCTTTTATATGTACAACCCAATTTTTACACGGAAACTAATTTCTAAAGAAATAGTCTACAAAATGCTAACCTTAGAGTGAAAAATTACCATGTCACTTTCCTATTACATCGCATGTGAGAAGAAAAAAAAAACGCCATGAAGGAGGAAGATACGTACACTAAGTATTACAATCTTAACTTCACGGAAAAAAAATAAATTATGTCCTAGCATGGTATTACCTGAAACTTATCACGCTTGTTTCGTCTCATCAAAGTTTAAAAAAAAACGAAATATATTCTATAGTACTACTGAATTATCGTTATTGTTTCGTCTGTTATGAACGCAGCGACGGAAACATGGAAAAACGGGCTTACCATGATGTACCCGCTAACGGAAACACGTTTGCCTCTGTGTTTCTCGCAACGGAGTCTAGTATTCTACAGTGTTTTTAGTTTACAGATTGTTGTTTTTATCGTCCTGTGAAGAACGAGATATAGTACACGTTTGCAGCGTTTGATTCGTCTCAGCATAGCGTAACGAGATATCTTCACATAAATTATGATTGATAGCGCTTCGTTCGTCAGAGGCACCCAACGACGATTTCCTCCTAAATGCATCCTAGAATCCTAGGAGTAGTCATAGAAATGGGGTTTGCGGAGCACTCACTTTTTTCAAATAAAATACCTGAATATGCTAGTCAATTTCCCAGAGAATGGCTTGTCATAAGAGGGATTAATATCGAGTGTAAAAGATTTTATGATAGATTGGATGAATATAGATTATTAAAATATGATAATATTCTTGATTATGATGAGTTTAAAATATTTAGTTCACCAAAGTCTAAAAAATTAGTTTACTATTTTAAAAGATTTTTAAAATGTACCAAAAGAGGTAGACTTCAGGATACAACTAATTTTGAACTAAAAGAAGTTGATGCTAATTATATAGAAATTTTAGATTATGAATTAGATGATTTTATGGATTCATTTTGTGAACCATATAGTGGTAAAATAAATAAAGAAAAATATGAAAATGATGATTCAGGGTTTAGAGAACTTTATGAGAGTTTTGTCGAATTTAAAGATAAAATAAAAGTTGAAGAAATTAAACATTATTATACCAGTAGTGATAGTTATGAGTTTTTAGTATCAACTTCAACTGATAGTGATTATTAAATCTTATAACATTTTTTTTGTTATAAGATTAATATTATTAATAATATAATCAAGTAATAAATGGAACCAAGATCAAGAGAAACTACTCCTACAAAAGAGGATTTGGATTTTATAGTTGATGATGGTTATAGATATGATGTGGATCCAGATTATGTTCCAGATGAAAAATATCTTGTTAGTGGAAAAGAATTTAAAAAGTTAGTTCGAAATGCTAAAAAACTTGGTGCTGAATCGCTTGATTATTCAACACGAAAAAATAACAAANTTGGATGAATATAGATTATTAAAATATGATAATATTCTTGATTATGATGAGTTTAAAATATTTAGTTCACCAAAGTCTAAAAAATTAGTTTACTATTTTAAAAGATTTTTAAAATGTACCAAAAGAGGTAGACTTCAGGATACAACTAATTTTGAACTAAAAGAAGTTGATGCTAATTATATAGAAATTTTAGATTATGAATTAGATGATTTTATGGATTCATTTTGTGAACCATATAGTGGTAAAATAAATAAAGAAAAATATGAAAATGATGATTCAGGGTTTAGAGAACTTTATGAGAGTTTTGTCGAATTTAAAGATAAAATAAAAGTTGAAGAAATTAAACATTATTATACCAGTAGTGATAGTTATGAGTTTTTAGTATCAACTTCAACTGATAGTGATTATTAAATCTTATAACATTTTTTTTGTTATAAGATTAATATTATTAATAATATAATCAAGTAATAAATGGAACCAAGATCAAGAGAAACTACTCCTACAAAAGAGGATTTGGATTTTATAGTTGATGATGGTTATAGATATGATGTGGATCCAGATTATGTTCCAGATGAAAAATATCTTGTTAGTGGAAAAGAATTTAAAAAGTTAGTTCGAAATGCTAAAAAACTTGGTGCTGAATCGCTTGATTATTCAACACGAAAAAATAACAAATACATGGCAACACTTTCAAGTGGAAAAAAAGTTCATTTTGGATCGCCAAAATATCCAGACTATCTTATTCATCAAGACAAAGATCGACGAGATAAATATCTTGCTAGAGCAACAAAGATTAAAAATAAACAGGGGGAGTTAACTTATAATAATCCTGAATCATCTAACTATTGGTCTGTACATCTACTTTGGCCAGAAAAAAGTAAATTAAAGATTTGATAAAATATAATAAAATGAGTTCAAATGATATTGTTGGTCTTACTAGTCTATCTAATGATATTGATTTAGTTGGTCTTACTAGTCTATCTAATGATATTGATTTAGTTGGTAAAACATATGTTAATAGTAATTATGTAGATAATTTTAACGAAAAACTTATAAAAGTTTTAGAAGAAGGATTAAAAGAAATTTCGGATAGTTTATATTCTATAGAAGTCACAATTGAAAATAAATTATTGCTTAAAGATTAAATTATAATAATAAAAAATGCAATTATCTAGTTACGATCATCTTACTCCAGAGAATATTATTTTTAATGAACCTAAAGAGTACAAAGTAAAAGACAGCAAAATCAAATACAAACGTATTCCAATTGAAGTTAAATATCCAAATGGAAAGAAAGGACCACTTGTAATCGAAACTCCAGTTCTTTTTTCTTTTGGAGTAAATGAAAAGAAAAACCAAGAAACAAACAAGTTAGTAGGTTATAGTATTCCAGTATGTCTTTGGGCTAAAGGTAGTGAGCCGAATACTAAAGAAAAAGCATTTTTTGATGTTATTAATAATATAACAACTGCCTCTCAGCAATATTTAGAGAGTGAATACGGTGCAGATCTAGCATCAACTCTATCTTCACCATTTTATTTCAAACAAGAAGAATATACAGATAAGAAAGGAAAGAAAAAAACAAGAATAGATCCCTCATCCTCACCAGTTCTTTACGCAAAACTTATTTACTCAGAAAAATCTAAGAAAATTCTTTCACTATTTAAAACAAAAGGAAAGAAGGATTTAAATCCTTTTAAATATATCAATCAGTACTGCAATGTTAAAATGGCTTTGATTGTTGAAGGAATCTTTATAAGTAAGACTGTAACACCTTTACAAATAAAAGTACATGAGTGCTATGTCAAACCATTAAAACCTAGGGAATCTTTACTAACAATTGAGGAGGAAGAGAGTGAGGATGAAGAGATAACTGATCAAGTAATTGAAGACTTACTTTCATCTGATAAAGAAGAAAATGAGTAAATAATAGGATTTTATTTTTAATACATTATTTGTATTAAAAATCAACCAAATCCTTAGAACTCGCCCATGAGTTAAATTTATCAGGATAACCACTCCATTTTACTAATGCCATTTTTTTCTTATTATCCCTCCTGATTATTTTTTCTATTCTAAATGTCTGCTGTTTTGCTTTCTGTAATTCTTGCTCGTAGAAAGAACCCTTAATCTCTTCTCCCATCAAATCAACAATGTTATACGTAACAGGTTTTGTTGGAAGAACTTTATCAATTACAAATATCTCCTCTGTCCAGTTTGGTGTGTAACCTTTATCAAATACTTTTCTCTTATATTTTGAAATTTTAACACGATCACCAATTGCAAACTTTGGTTTACCAGGTTTTAAGTAAATAGAATCACCATACAAATTAGACCTAACTTTATTTTCATTTTTCTTTTTACTAGCTTCAACACGAGTCATTTTAATGCTAGAGTGTCTCGAATTATTGTAGTCATTAACCAGTTTATCTATCTTATCCCAGTAAACAGTGTTGTTATTTACAGTAAACATCTTCCACATTCTATTTTTCATTGTTTTATTCCATCTCTCAACAACACTAGATTTCTCTTCATTTTCAGTGTGATACAACTTGATTCCCTCTCTTTTTAGAAACTCTTTGAAATGTTTACTGATAAACTCAGAACCTTTATCTGTCCATAACATCTGAGGTTTACGTTTACTTTTAAATATATCATCAAATGCTTTACTGACAGTTTCAGTTTTCTTATCTTTTATCCCCTTTATCCATCCATACTTGCTAAACACATCTATTACCATTAGAAGATACTTTATCCCTTTATTCCACTTACTAAACTTTTGCATTTCAACTAAATCAGCAGCCCAGATATCATCAATCCCGTTTGAGATTACTGATCTCTTTTGAAAGTTTCTTGTGATTGGTTTGTGAAGTTCGTCGGCTAATTGTTGAGACCAATCACTACTCAACGCCGACTCGCGTTTAAACCAAGTCCAAGTTTTTGTTTTGTATTTATCATTGTTCTAGCTAAAGTATGGCCCCATTGTCTTTCTTTCCAAGGAATTGCATCCAGGGATTTTACCATTTTTTTATCAGCTTCATTTTTACATTTTACTTGTTGACTTTTTGGTTTATTTCCACAAACTGTGTAATCAACATCATGTTGCATACTAACTGCATCAGTTGGTCCTGTTGGTTGTTGGTAGATTTCTAATATATTTCTCTCATCATCGTGTCGAAGTTGATTATGAAGAGGATTTCCAGGTCCAGTATAATTATGACCTGGTACAACGAAACCTTTTTTTGGTGCTACTTTGAGAATAGCATTGTGAATATCAAATCCTCTTCCATCCAACTCTGGTCTATCAGTTTTATATTTATTTTTTGGTCTTACTTTTGTTGATAACTGGTCCATGGCTGTTCCAACAGAATCTTGAATAAATGGAGTGAGTTTATTAATTCCATAATTTACAGCTTTCTTCTGAAGATTTTTATTTCTCATTAACTCGCTTGCTCCATATCGCCCCATTTCAACTGCTTTTTTACCCATCCAAGGTAAACCGTAATGAACAAATCCATCAACTGCAGTACCTACAACAGTATCAAAGACGCCCGCCCCTTCAGACGGGCTGATTAGTTTTTTGATTTTCGTTTTCTCTTTTTTCCACTTCCACTTTGGGAAGCTGTTCCAGTTTTCACATATCTAACTTTTTTGTTTCCACAAACTGCACATCTACAAAAGAATTGAGTTCTACCTCTTTTATCTGTTTGGTAACCACTTGGTTCTGTGCAAGGAGTTACTCTTTTATCTTCAATACAATATGATTCTTTCATTTAATATAATGTTTAGATAAATATGTCTACTAGATCTAATTTTCTAAAAATTGAACTTCAAAAGATATATAACAACCTAAATATGAGTTATGAATACGCTGATTTTTCTAGATTGGAAAATGACACCAGATTTATAAAAGTATTTGAGTTGCTTATGGAAATAAGTGAGAAATCAAATACTCTCAACAAAGTTGTAAAAGGAAATTATCTATTTATATAAAATAAAAATAAACCTTTATAGATTAAATAAATTATTTTATTTAATCTTAAGAAATTAAGAAAAGTACGCCTTTATAAAATCACTGTTGTCATCATCAAAATGTGGGTTATGTATTACGTTTAGAATACTATTACCCCGCTGTCTCTCGTGGAGATAATATAAACACCAATAACCACAGAGAACAGTATTACGATTTTGTATTTCATCCATTGAGTAAACTATACGTTTTCCAGAAGTATTAAAATACTTTAATGCTTCATTTGGCATTATTAGTCCAAATGGATCAAAGTACTCTACTACATTGTCTATATTTCTGTAACAAACCCAATGTGTTCCAGGACCTGTTATATCATCGAGATTAATTATTCCACATTCTTTTTTGATTTTGTTTGGTAGTCCATCCCTACTGTAAATACCTCTGAAATGTTTAATACCAAGTTTCTTTACCCAATCCATAAGGTCAAAGTTGGATAATGGTTTAATTACAAAATGGCCCCTATTAATGGATTTGAGTTGAATGGGCTGTTTTTTCCTAGTAGTAGTCCTTTTCCTTTGGACTTTTTTTTTTTAACTCCCATTCCAATTGGGTTTTCCCATGTACCGATAAAGGGTGGTGGTGTGTGATAAGGATAACCTTCACCATGTGTTGGTGGAGGAGGATGTGGAACGTAAACATTTGCTGTATTAGATGATCCACGTCTATTAACCTGAAGTCCACCACCAAACATCTTAGATACTAAACTGATTGCCATTGGAATTCCAATAGATGCAAGAGTTCCAAGAAATCCTCCTTCTATCTGTCTACGAGTTGGTTTAATAACCAATCGCCCACCTGTTTGATAAGCTTTGCTAATTTGATTTATTTGAGATTTGGTAAATTCTCTTACAAGAGGTGGTAACATTGGGAAAAAATGAGGGGGAATTGTGATTCCTTTTCCAAATATTTTATTTAATCCAATTTCTCCAAGTGCAGTAGCAGCACCGGTTGCCAATGCAGGAACAGCTTTTGAAATTCCTTTTATAGCGTATGGTAGTACTTTTGCTCCAAGAGATGCGAGTGATGAAAATAAGTTTCCTCCATGTTTTACAGAACGTCTAATTTGAGTTTTACTTATTTTTATATCTGATCCTGTTCCGTTTGCAATAGATTTTTTTATTTTAGTAATTTGTCTTTGGGTTAACATTAACTCATCAGAACCTCGAAGATGAGAATGTTTTAACCGAAGAGTTAGTGGTGATTTATTTAATATTGCAGAAGCCAGTTTTGACTTTTGCCCATCTGTAAGTTTTACTCCGTATTCTATATAAGTAGTCATTTTTTTATAATAATATTTATATTAAATTCAATCTCATTTGTTTTGGGTTTATCTCAGTTGGTGGTTAAGTTTTTTAATTAGTTTGAAATGTTCCAGGTGTGATCTAAAAATTGCTTTGTCATTAGAACCTTCTAGAAGGTTATTGTTTTATATCACGACATTATCGTATGATTTTTTCAACCAATCAAATGATTACACAGAATTTTCTACAAATGTATAAAATGTTGTGTAATTATAACAGCTTGTATAAAATTCTGTGTAACTTTAACAGATAGTATAAATTTTTGAGACAGTTAGAAGGTCGCAGGGATGACTGAGATTAAGCTCTAAGTAATAGTTTTCCTCCTTGCTGTTCGATTTCTGCTTCTCTTTCGTGAAGTATTAAAGCGTAGAAATTATAATCAGCGTCTGGATTAGCAGATAATTGGAAAATTAAACGAGACTTACCTGTAAGTTGAAGTTTGATTGAGATTCTATCACATGACCAAGGAGGCAGGAGATCACATGAGATAGCACAGCGCATGCGTCAAGTCATTGTTTTAAAGCCAGTGGTTGTGTCAGATATAATCCAGATTCCCATATTACACATAATAATAAGAGGGATGGGATCTCATAGCTGACAGGGTGGGCATGTGATCTCCTGCCTCCTTGGTCATGTGATAGAATCTCAATCAAACTTCAACTTACAGGTAAGTCTCGTTTAATTTTCCAATTCTATCACATGACCGGAGGCATGGAGAGCCCATGAGACTTTAAAGCTCTGACACAACCATCTAAATATGTCACATAAAACAATTGCGTACCAATTGTAAATATATTTTAATGTGAATGCTATTGATGTTCAATCAATAAAAAATTTGTTAGCTAATTCATGTGATGGATAACATATCAATAAAGTATATCAATATATCAATCAAAAAATTCACTCATGCTGCAGAGTGTATAGTGTCATTACATCTTGACATAAGAACAATAACAGTTTTAAGTATAAGAAAAAAGATAAGTGAATCTAAGACAAAACTGCTTCTGCTAGTGTTGCTCCTCTTGAGCCTAGCACTGGTTTATGATAATATTTCTGGAATGTTTTTGCTGATTCCCAACCAATTGTGTTCAGTATGGTATCTAGAGGGATTTCTTTTTGATGGGCCTTTGTTGCTGAGGCAGCTCTTGTACTGTGTGAAGTAAACATTTTTGTGTCTATACCAGAGTTTGTTAAAACCTGCTTTGTCCACCTGGAAATCGTGTCTCTTGACACAGCCTTGTTAGGTTTTATGAACCTTATGAACAGTTTGTTTTCTCCATTCCTTAGTGTTTCTGTCTCCTTCATATAAGCTTTCAGAGTCGTGAGCGGACATATTCTACTGTCAGAAGTAAATTCAGTAATCGTTACGGCAGCTGCTGCATTTTTGGGTCTGCTTGTCTTAGTGTGTTCCTCTAGTGACAGATAGGCAGTCTGGGATGTCAATTGTATTCCATTTAATGATAGTAGGTGGATGAATTGCCCTCGTTGGCCAGTTACTAACAGAAGTAGCATGACTGTTTTTTGTGTGAGTTCCTTCAGAGATAGCTTCTCTAACGGATACAATGTTTTAAGGTAATCCAGGACTTGTGAGACAT